TTAGGCCCGATGGCCCGATTGCTGCATGACTAGGCGTCCTAACCCGGACAAGTCCGGGCTTTCAATGCAAACTCTTGCTTACGGAAGAAAAAGTCAAACGATCTAAACAAGAAAACAGTGTAGTGCCCGGACAATATGTTTAAAATATTTGTAAAATTGTTCTACTTAATTACATTGTTACAAGCGTTAATACGTGTCTTAATTTATGCTTCAAGCATCGCGTTGTCCATAACACCAATATATATTTCGATTCGCTCTAAAAATGCACACATTTTCGCATTCGCCATACCCCCCTTTTTCCTCCCTTTGAGGAGTTTGGGCCTGAAATATCTCATTAAGCGGATGAGCATCTGCTCATGAGCATTTATGAGCATGTGCTCATAGGCCCGTTTGGGACTTATATGGCCTTATATGACCCTATTAGGCACGATGGCCCGATTGCTGACTGCATGGGCATCTTAACACCCGAATATGGACAAATATTCGATTAAACATTGGGGAATAAATGTTCCCTTAGAACATTCCTCTGCAACACTGCAAATCTATACGTCGTATACGTACACATTTTTTTATTATATGTATACGAATACAACGCCCATAGGATATGTGACCTTCCACGGGAAAACGTACGTTAACGATATTTTGTTGAAACGGCAAAACGAACGGATAACGAACGGGTAGTGAACGATCTGTAATAACGTTTCAACGAACCCAGAAAACGTTTTGACGAATTCAGCTAAAAATGTGAACGTTTAAAGTCGAGAATACGAACGGATAAATAAACGTTCAATCTGAAGCCGTTTGAACGATTTATGTTTATTAACGGTTTTAACGAATTTGTCTGAACGCCTGTTGCGCGTATAATTGACGCAAGATATTATTGACTAATTTATCTAATTAAAAGAAAAGGAAATATTTTCAAACAAGTAACATGTGTTGTTCCAAGTATGTGTGTACATAAATAGCTATACCTTCATTTGAATGTTTAACTAAAATTATTAGCTATACTACCTAAATCCCATTATTTTATACTTTATATACACTGTTAATTTGAAGGTGTCAATTTAGCACCAAAAAAGGTGTTGAATGAATATGGCAAAAATAACACCTGTTGAGGTGCTATTTTAACACCATGACCTGGGTGCTAAATTAACTCCAATCCCTGGTGCTAAATTAACGCCCATTCTGGTGTCAGAATAACGCCTTTGGGTGTTTAAATAGCACTACATTTGGTGTTAAAGCAGCACCTTTTTACCTACTGCAATTTAATGTGCAGTTCTTACATCAGCAATCATATCTAAATCAAAATTAATGACACTTATACAAGGAAATAAAAAATCAATATATTTGGTCACAGTTGCATATTTACAATTGCTTCTGCAGGACTATTTACAAAAACCACTGTCAGACAAATATTCACAATTTTCGATAATCAATGTCAAGTTCTTATAATGCTACATTACAATTTTCGACAAGCAATGTCAAGTTCGTATAAATTTATCGACAAAACTCACTTCCCAGCATGTTCTTCCATGGCCATTTTTTATTATTTGTATGTCCTCATCTGTATATGGAGTCATCAACCCTAAGATAAATTTATCAATAATCAGTAGTATTATTAGCAAGTCAAATCAGCCCACAAGGTTTCTTAACATAAAGAGAAGAGATTCTCCTTCAGTTAGACCTAAAGCAACCACTAGCTGTGCTCTGAATGTCTGTTTTGAAAAACAAATTGTTTATCAAATATCAATAGCAGAAAATCTAGTTAGGTTACCAAAACTATAATAGGCACACTAAGCATTGGACAAAGACAGTCTAAGTTGCAGATTCTGGGGCAATAAACTACAGGTGACATTGTAAAACACCTCCTTGGGAAACTTATAGTATATTAATTGCATGATTTACCTGATTCTCTGTGCAGCTAATCTTGTTTCTTGTTTCTATCCTGTTCGAAAGAACCAATACATACTTCTTGGCACAATTTTTGTTTGCCAGCCATACCATGGACAATTCGTTCTTGCACATTTCACTTCCAAATTCTGCCTTTACCTGCAACAAAATAATAGAATGTGTTCAGTGAAACTTTGCTATTGACTAAAATATAAATGTGAATTTAAAAAATGACAGGCTAAAATGGGACTCTCAGGTATAAACCTGTAAGAGATTATATTTCTTACAGTAATAATTTTATCAAAAGACATACACAGGCATTGATTTTAAACAAATAACTTGCTCTCTAAAATCAAATTTATCAAAATAGAGCAAGGGTTATCGTTAATATATTAAAATAGAGCACGGACAATCGTTGATATAGGATAAAATATTTGCTAAATTATGTCAATAACATTAAAGAGAAAAGCGAAGACGCATCATAAAATTACGGTAAAGTAAATATGAATAGATACCTATTATCGCAATGATATTTTCTTTGACCACAGCTTGCTGAAGAGATCGCAGTAAAGTAGAATACGTCATTTAACTTCTCTAGAATAAAAAAATAGCACACATTTGTTTGTTTAGCGATTTGGCCGTTTGACTTTGAGCGAACATGGATACTGTGTATGTCTGTATTTGATCAAATTCAAACACTTACCAAGATATTTCTGAGATAATACTACAACCAATTGCTTTGAAATTTCCTTATGGGCGCCCGTTGTTGTTAAGGATATTTAGAAGTACCAAAATAGTTGAGTAAATACGCTCAAAACGTCTTTAACACAGCAGCATAAACATCTCGATGAATATACGATTCAAAAGAGTTTTCAAACGACGCGCTCAAAAAATTTGCATGCAGGCGCCGGCACGTGTCATATTTCGTTCCTTATATGGACATACATAGTATGCCTATACGCGATTGCGAAATATTTACTTTGTAGCAATCAATACATAGCACAAAATAACATAGTTTGATAAAATAAAAAGGACAATGGATCACTATCGATGTATCTCGGGGGTTTTTTATATAGAAACGTATCCGACGTATTCATAGCAACAAGCCGAATTTCCATGTCGTCTTTTAGATGAATAGTTGTGCGAAAACGCACGGGAATTCTTTGTTCCAAAATCACCTCATTCGAAAATACAAATTTATTTTCCAATACTAAATAGCTTGAATAAAATCAAACCTGCTCTTTCCCGGGCCCGGCCTATCCGCCATTTGGTGTTATTTTGACACCCCATATTTAACTCCCTATAAGGCGTTATTTTAACACTTCCCCTCGGCAAAAGAGGTGTTATTTTGGCACCTTGCAATGGTGCTGGTAATATGGTGTCATGTTGGCACTTTTAGCGCCAATCCAAGATTTGGTGGTGTTAAATTAGCACCGAAGTTGGTGCCAAAATAGCACTTTCTATTTAACACCACTGCATGGTGTTGATTTGGCACCTACGGTGGTGCTATTTTAACACTTCAAAATTAACAGTGTACATATATACATTGGCGTTTTGCATCAAAATTCGGGTTAATCGTTAGAAAGCCTTCAGTTATTAGTATATATTATCATCGTTATGTCAAATTAATGCATCATCTGCAACTATACCCATCAAAATATTCAGCGCGTGTTCATTTGCAACATCGTTACAGGTTTTGTAAATTTTTCCACGAACAAACTCTATGTATGAGTGGTTAAAGACATATAAACAAAGACATACAGGCGATACAGCATGCATCCGTTTTATTAACACGGCTGTAAACCGACAGTAAACAAAAATTGCCGTCTCAGTTTGGTTGAGTTTCAGCTACTAGATACATACTTTATGTTAAACTAAACACAAGAGATTCCATTGTACACTTTTGTTTATACTCTTTGACGCGCAAACGATTAAATTAATTAGCGCAAGGATCAAGTTGTTTACAGATGATAACCAAACATTAATACAGAATATCGCATACGCAAAGTTCGTTTGTATGCGAACCAGCGTAGTAACGTGTGCTTGCATGCTGTCAAAACTTATTTGGTATAATACTACATTAAATATCCACACCATTTATACACATGAAATCCACATTTCAATTTCAGCAATGCATTGCGCGGTAATAAAATATTTAAAATATAGGCTTGGATATTTACCTAGTGCACACAATATGTTCCGTGCAGCAACACCAGTAGCCTAGCTTTAGCCGCGGTCAAGCTTGTCGCGGAATGTCGCCTATACACAGTACTGTCAGTAGCAAGTCACTAGCAACTAACACGGGACGAAAAGATAGATTTGCCTGTATGCAAATGTATGGGCAAATTTATTGCCAATTTCAAATTCGATCGTATATGACCACATTTGCACCATTGCAAATTTTTAAATTTGCCTCGTGTTTGCACCTAGTGCGATACAGTGATTGCCGCGATGCCACCGGGTGCAAATTTAGTGCAAATTTATGGTAAATTTATAACATTGCACATATTGCGATTGCAGTGTGATTTTGTTGTGAACATAAAATTTGCGATTTGTATCACGCATGTTGCCATTTTCGTGGAAAATGCAAAATGAAACTTGTTCAAATTATGCTGGTCGGTTTGATTTGTTTGCGTGTGCTTTCTATTTTTGTGTCGCGCAATTGAATTTTTTAAAGTTTAAACGAAGGTAAATAAAAAATGATTTTTTATTATTTTTAAAAAATATATTGAAATCGTACATATATATAAGACAATAATATAAACACGTAGAGTCATAGATTCAATATAAACCTATAGATGTTCAAAAATATCCTGAATAGATCCTAATGCGTACAATAATATAGCTACATGCTATTTATAAACCGATATAATTTATATACATTTAGTTAAAAAATGTCTATACAACAGAATTCGAAGCCGGCAACCTATTTTTTTCGCATATCGTTCTTATATTGTATCTTCTAAAATCTTATAAAATTTTTCAAATTGATTGTTATTTTCCATACTCTCCAGTCATATATACTTCATATTTTTTTATGAAACATGAACATGGAATTTTTCATCATGTAGACCACAGTTAATAGAACATACATGGTTTAGAGACTACATATAATTAATTATATATACGGTATATAAATATATATATATATAAGTAGTTACAATAGAACTCATTAACTATATATATATATATAATATATATAATATATATATATATATATATATATATATATATATATAAATAAATAAATAAACAAAAATGCAATTTTGTTGTTAATATGAAGAGTGCTCGATGATAAAGAAGTAACAGAGCAGAAATATTTATTTATTGCTTAATAATATTTACAAATCGCTACTCAGAGTTTCACGCTAATGCGATTTTCAAGCGATTGAGATACTACTCTCTAAGCTCTAACGGGTTTGTTTGGTTCGCGTTCTGGTTGCTGACGCGGTCTTCTTGCGTTTAAAATTCCACGCGCTGAATTTGTTTCTGTGACAGCATTTCGAGAAAAGCTCATTTCGTTTGTTCAGGAGATTTTCCGACTTTGACTTTATAATTTGAAGCTTTTCCTCTGTGCAGAGCTTGCAACGCTTTCCGCCCGGAGTATAGGCTTGTGCACGCTTAATTATTGACCATTTTATAGCAAATTCTTTGCAGGCATTCTTTAGTTTCCACACATATTTTGATAGTTCAGTTTCCGATGAATATTGGAGGTGCCTAAATGATTTAATGTGGTTTCCATATCTCTCTTTAAAGGTGTTTGATGTCATTCCTATGTATGTTTTTACTGTATTGCTATTCTGCGATGTTATTTCAGCTTTGTACACAATGCTTTTGACCAAACATTTTCCTTCGAGTGGGCATTCTTTTACACTTTTACAGTTGCATTGATCTAAAACTTGCGGACACAAGCCTATACTCCGGGCGGAAAGCGTTGCAAGCTCTGCACAGAGGAAAAGCTTCAAATTATAAAGTCAAAGTCGGAAAATCTCCTGAACAAACGAAATGAGCTTTTCTCGAAATGCTGTCACAGAAACAAATTCAGCGCGTGGAATTTTAAACGCAAGAAGACCGCGTCAGCAACCAGAACGCGAACCAAACAAACCCGTTAGAGCTTAGAGAGTAGTATCTCAATCGCTTGAAAATCGCATTAGCGTGAAACTCTGAGTAGCGATTTGTAAATATTATTAAGCAATAAATAAATATATATATATATTAATAATATATATATTATATATATATATATATATATATATAATATATATATATATATATATATGTCGTCGGGAAACATTTATGCAAAATTGTTCCTTATTCGCCACGTGTCTATCGTATTTTGAACAAATAAACCAATAGTAAGGTCTGAATTAACATGTTGTTCAAGAGGATCTAAACCAAGCTATAATTACTATTTGTTAATTGGGCAAAAATACAGAAGACATGCATGTGACGGATAAAGAACAATTTTCAGCATAAACCTGCAGGGCAATAACATAAATAATGAGTTTTATTTTACTTCCATCTATAGTATCCAAACCATGTATATTCTATCTAATAACTGTATGTAGACTAAGGTGCAAGTTTGCCGGGTTGAGAAATCCTCAACAGTACTAGTACGGAAAATAGCTATGCAAATTTGACAGATTGATGGCTATATTTGTTTTCCATACTGCTCAGTGTGGCTCTACAGCATAGAAATACTGGACCATACGTCGTCAGCATATGTGACTTAATGAGTTGCACATTTTCTTACGTAAAGTGTACAAAATTTACGTAATTAAATTTGGTTTTTCCATACATCCAAAAAATAGGTAGCGCTGAACTCTTATACATATAGTTTAATCATGCAACAGACTAGTTGTTCATAAAAATGGAAACATTTTAACGGTAATTAAGTGTAGTTTAATAACCTTTTTTTAAATTTACCTTTCTTCCATCATCAATGGATGCCATATTTATCTAATTTTTAATCATCCAATCAGGGATGTCACTTGGTGGCAAACAAACCATTCTTTCGCCCATAATTCTTTCTTTGAACATGGAGCGAGCCTTCTCCGAAATTCGCCTGGTATATTTCCGGTCCAAGCTTTCCAACACGCTTTGGAATCTCTCGCTACGCCATGACAATGGGCGGGTTTTTAATATTTTCTTCGTACCCAAAGCGTCATCGTCGGATTCGGACTCGTCATCTCTTTCAATTACCTCTTCCTCGCTGTGCTCGGGAGACATACATGATATTTTCATCCCCTTTCTAAATTCTGCCTTTTCAGCCTCAGGCCAAGAGGTAGTTTTATATAGTGCATCCAGCCGGCGTCGAAGTTTCTATAAATATACGAGAAAACAGTGCATTAGCTGTGTAATCATTAGCTATGTTGATCTGAACTAGATTATTTTATGATAATTATGTCTCTCATAGATTTCTTGTTATTCTTATAGTTGTATTTAAGTTGAATAAGAAATGCGTATTATTCTTTTTGAGGCCCAAAAATGGCAAAGAGAGGGATTGATGTCCCAAAAATTAACAATGTTTGAATGTCCCAAAAAATTGCGAGAATTTCAGATGAAGTTATATGTGTCGAACGAGAGGTTGGAAACGTTTTGTAAATCAGGTTCGTAATTTCCGTGCATTAAACTAAAGTATACAAATTTGCAAACTTTGCAAAGCCACATTTTTGGCATCTCATGACATTTCGCAACCAAACGTTGCATTTCTACTAATTTCAGTACGCTCTTTTTAGCTGTGGTGATTTTAATGGGTTATCTTGCATGTATAAAAAAGTTGCCTAATATGCAAAAGGTCCATTTAATCTTTATGTTTGATGATTTAATCTTTGTATTTGGCTCGTGAGAGCAAAACGTGAAATCCGTCTCATGGTTTTGAACAACGCATATGCTCTGCGAAAGTTGGAAAGGCAAACGAGGTACGTTTTTACATTGATTTCTTACATCTGCCTTGCGATGGCGACGTCGTTCATTTTGCAAAATATTACTTCTCTGCCCTGAATCGACCTCCTTGCGTCTCCTCCGCATTGTCAAGAAATGTGCCTTCATTGCTCCTAGAAAATGGTATCAGACTGCATGATTCAATCTTGAAAGTTCGTCCGAAAAAGGGCAACGTTCTCATGATAAGTGGGATTCATGCAATTGTCTCATCTAAGAGAAGATTGGTGAGGTACGTTTTTCGTTTATGGCACCAGAGTCAGAGGAATATAAACTCAACTATTCCGGCATGTATATAATCAATCACCTAATCATATATTTATCATTTATAGACCAGGGGCCGGTTGTATCAAAGCCGGATAGCGCTATCCACCGAATAGTGATTTTTTCAACCGTTCTAAAAATGCTCGAAAGGGGATAAAATTTCAGCTTGAAAGCAACAATTATTAAAGAGGATCTTCAATTTAGGAATACTAAGATTTAATCAAAGTTGTAGCAAATAACGGGCGATTTTGAAGCAATTGAAAAAACCACTATCCGGTGGATAGCGCTATCCGGCTTTCATACAACCGGCCCCAGGGGCCGGTTGTTCGAAAGGTGGATAAGTCGCTATCCAACGGATAACTCGCTATCCAACGGATAAGTTTTATCCAGCGTGTGATTTGCGTTGCACGAAGCTTGCATAACTTTATCCAGCGGATAAAAATCGCTATCTACCGGATAAATTTATCCAAGGTCCGGAGGTGGTTTAAATCCACTATCCAGTGGATAAATTCAAAGATACAAGGTAACATTGTAAACATTTATATAAAATAGGACAAAAATGCAATATTCCTGTTACTGTGTTTCAACAAACTAATGCACATCATGATTGCATGTATTAAAAATGGTTTCGCGAAGTGCAATTTTTCGCAGCAGCGTTTTACGTTGCCTAGACATTCCTTTCCGAGCGGCGATTTTTTGGACATCCTCGCATTTATAACAGGCAGTAAATTTACTATTGTTCAAGTCTTTTCCATTCAGTAACTATACTCGAGAATTCGTAATGATTATGAATTCAATGTTGTAAATGCTTAGCAACAGCTGACGTTGTGGTACGAAATTTCAGTATAATCCAGTTTTCTTCCGGTAAATTTTAACTTATCTATTGGATAGCTATCCACTTCACTATCCACGCTTCGTGCAACGCGTTTTTATCCAATGGATAACTATCCACTGGATAGCAGATTTATCCGTTGGATAGGACTTATCCGTTGGATAAGTTATCCATCTTTAGAACAACGGCCCCTGGAGCGAGGGGAATTCGATGAAATATTACCCCGAAGGGAAAATATATCCCGAGGGCTTCACTTCCATATGAACGCAAATTCTCGATTTTTCCCGGTAAGCCGGTATTAAAACACGATCACACACGCTTGCCTGCAAAGGTAGGATAATAAGTGGGATAATAGGCGGTATGAATTGCATATGAAACGACCTTCAAACTCATCTCAGCAAGCCGAGCTCTCCTGGCTAACCGGGCTATCCCACCTCATATGAACAGGCCCTTAGTTCCTTTCGAAATTGATTATTTTTACGGTCTGCTAACATGAATGTATGAATATCAGCATCTCCACTTAACGATACTCCGCCGCAGCTTGTTTTATGCCGTGGGTCAAAATCAAACGTAAGCTATGGGAAGTTTTCAAAATTTCCTACTTCCGAACAACCCGTGTACCGGCGGTAGCAGTTTGGGTCTATGCTTGAAGCAAGAACAAATTGAAACGGAGGCTAGGTTGGATCGGATTCATTTATTTTTCAAGGAACAAGCCCTTAAAATCGTTAGCTATCTCTAAGTTTTGATGTGAAAATTAATAATGATAGATTGATAGTCCTATCACGTGTTGTATCAATCAAAATAATTTGTGACTACACCCCCGGTTAAGCTTAACACGTGCGCCAGACTGATTCGTCATCTTCGTTGCCATGTTTTCGTGTTGAAAAAATATTTAATGGCTTGAAAATTGACTCTTGTATTCTATATTTTATCCTATGAATTAATGGGCTTAACGTACTCCTTTTGTGTATGAATATTAATGTCAAAGTAAGTATGTATTAAAATGTATTCAAACCGCATGATTTTGTGTTTGCCTAAGTCGCAATATACATTCCGGGGATATTTTCATTAAATTTTTACAGCTAAAACCCAGAAACAAACGTAATTGAACTTTCTCTCCTGACGGGATAGAAAACTCTACAAACATTCGAATCACCTCAAATATATTTTCATGCATGGATGCTGAGACCTACTTTACACACGTTGTTTACCCTGTCAATACCTGTTTGCATTTTGTCATCCAGGGCTGAAAGTGAAAGTGAAAGTTACTTTTCAAATAAACTGCTTGTATAAACTGCAATATACCCCATCTTTACTAGCTATAATGCTCAATATGCACACCGGTTCCTATTTAGGCATGCATATATAAACAATTTATAGTAATGCAGTATGCCAGATGAGTATACAGGTTATTGAACAAGGCAATAGAGGGTACCATGCAGAATTACTTAGACAGAATTCAATCACTTCTAACTGCCTACCAGAGAATGGCGATAAAAAGTGCTATACCTAACCATTAATTGGCTTAGTAACACCTCATTTTTTTATTCTATTTCTGGTACTATACAATGATCCAGGCTCGGAACATTAAAAATCATTTCTATGACAGGTAAAATTTGCCATTATATATATTTTGAATATTTTGAACAAAAAAAACCCTGATTCAACCCTGTAGTTTGTATGCTATTGAACCATCTAAGGGCTTGGTAGACTTTAGTGCTAATTAATGCCTAGCTGCAAACTATTGCAATTGCTGTTCTACATCTAGCAGATCTTTTTTATGGATTTTAAAAAGTTCCCTGAGTAACTTAATACGTTAGAGGATGCCATGTAAATGTCTCTTAACACTGGCCTCTTTGACAGAGGATGAGTCTGAATTGCAAAAAAATATATGGTGCTTACAATAATAACTTATTGGTGAAAAACACAGCCTATTGTTGTTGTAAGCTATGCTTTTCCTTTACTGCAACTTACTTTCAATTATCTGATCTGACATCTTTTCCATGCCAGTCAATGCCTTGATATTTGTCACCAGGAGTTTGTTGGTGTCTTCATTAGCTGTTGCTCTAAAACTACATTATAAATTTAAATACTAAAATGTTGCATGTATCTAGGCAATTATTAATTCTTTTTTAAATTCATTTTATGTACCATTTGCTATATGATGTACAAAACCTATTACATCACAAAATGTGGAATATATATACCCACCTCTGAGTTAAGTCCCATCCCTGTTCTAAGCCTTTTACTGCTAAACGGACAGTACGCTGAGAAATTAAATGTAATTGCATATAGGTTATTGGGTAGTTACTAAAGCTCTCTTCTTTAATCTATATAAATATTGATGTGCATAATAATTATGTCAATATTGTCTGAAATTGTTTATTTTTAGGAAGTTTTACTTGAAATCCAAATGAAAATGATTATAAATCAATGAAATTGATGTAAGTATTCATCATCATGAAGATTATAATAGCATGCAATATAACAATAGAGTTGATGTTTGCTGGCATAAATGTGTTTTTGGCCCGACTCTGGACTTATTTTAGCCCGAGCGTAGCGAGGGTTAAACAGTATTCTGAGGAGGGCCAAAAACACATTTATGCCCAAGAACATCAACTGTATCACTATTATATTAACTTTTTAAAGGGCGATTTTTGTATAGAAACACTACAATGGATAAACACTACAGTCGTTCTTCTGATTGGCTAAGAACAAGGTGGGCTAAAATAGATTTTAGCCTGGCAAATTTATCATTTTAGCCCGCAAAGTACACCGCAATGCCCACCAAAGTTAATATAATAAAATATTAGCTACTACACTTCTTTACTAAAACTGTCTTGTATTATTTATATATATCTGACCATACATAATATTAATATTGTCTAAAATCTTTCATTATTTTATAGGGAGTTTGGATTGGAATCCAAGTGACAAGTATTAATTAATCACTGAAATTACTGTAAGTTTTCATCATCATTGAAATTTACAAGCATGCAATATTCCAGTGGCATGTATGGAGTTCTACCCCTGTTTAATCACCAGAATATTCACATTTAAATTATCATGCTGTTGACAATTTCTACTGTCATCCCTGACCCTGGGCAATTAATTTTCACCCTTTTAAAGGGAAAATCATAGGAAATGGACTAGACAAACTATAAACAGAATAAAATGAAAATCTGAAAAGGGAAATTTGCTTTATATCACTATACCCAATACTCAAGGTCAGCAGCAAACCATATCCTGCATGACATGCTCATGTTTGATTTCATTGTTGCATTGATTAATGATTTGGTTATATGCACCATTATTATTATATGTTGATACTGTAGTCCTTCCTTCCAATCCCTCCTCTTCTTACAAATTCAAGTTATCATACTGTACTACATTGCATTGTTTGCTTTGGGACACCATTGTTGTATACATTTAAGCATTTGCAAAAACTGTATTCTGTTGAAAAAGGCTTAGTGGATCGTAATACATACACAGTTTTTCTTCCCCATATAGAAATTATTGATTAAATTACTTTAATTCGAATGAGTAAGCATTTACCTTTAAAATAAGGGGGATTTTCTCTCGGGTAGCAAGCTGTGCCCCGCGCTCTTTAGCTATATTCTGCTCTTGTTGATGTAATATTTTTTGATTTTGTTCAATGATTGTCCGTTGACTTGCCAAAATACGTCGCATGAGTTCCTCATTCTGACCATTGATTGCCATTTTTTTAAAAAACTGGTAGCTTTCGTTAAAAAATTAAATGTTAAGTGTATAAAAACTGGCTTGTCAAGACAAGTTGAAAATTTTTCCTTCGAGTTTCCCTCTCGAATTCTAGATTTAGCGCGAAATAAATATGAGGCTTCTAATTGGTTGGTTTAGGTCACCTGGACACTTATAGTGTCCCTGAATAGCATCTACTACCCCCGTTTAGCCCTTTGTGTTTCTTTTAAACTCTTGTTTTTATATCAACATCGCTTATAAAAATCTAAAAACAATCATGGCTGAATACAACAACTATATGACCTTGTGTCCACATTGCAGACCTATTTACCTGCAAGAACTTTCAGGCGACATAGGGAAGTTTATTTTGACCAAAATTCAAACCGTGGCAGAGATCCAATTTTAGAAGGCAGTAGTGATGATGAAGACAACTTTATTGTGATCGACCAGGTCACTCCATGTTTCCCTCTTCCATCAAATCATTGCGATAGCAATTATACTGAACCTGACTCGGCTGATGAATTGTTCCGCGAAGAACTGCTTGAGCGTGAGATCTGGGATGATATTTCAGATAATGAAATCGACGAAGACACTAAAATTCCATCCGTTAGTGTCAATACGTCAGATTCTCCTTCCAACCGCACGTTGCTCAATTGTCTAGTTATTTTACTTGCGTTTTTTTGGACCTACTTTCCCATACCGGACAACGCAATGGAGTTTTTGCTTTTGTCGTTGAAACGATTCTTTCAAGCAGCATCTCTTTCCAACAATTGGCTTGCCACATTCTCCTTGGCTTTTCCTGGATCGCTGTACCTTTTTAGAAAAGAAGTAGGCCTGGTAGGTGACAAGTTTACTAAGTACGTTATTTGTCTAAAATTATAGACAATTGCGCATGCGTCAACCATGCAGCTCAACTCTGTTGAAAGAGGTAACTCTTAAAGATGGTGGTAAGCGATTATATCCTCAAAAAATATATTGTTACCAGAGTGTTATTGCAACATTGCAACAGTTTGTTAGGCGAGCTGGTTTTACCCAGCGATGTGAGTTGTGGAGAAATCGTGATATTCGAACTGCTCATCAAGTTATGTGTGACGTATTTGAAGGACGAGTCTGGAGAGATTTTCAGATGTTCAATGGATCATCCTTTCTGGCATCTCCTCGTAATTATAGCTTTATGCTCAATGTTGATTGGATGCAACCATATGATCACACACCATATTCTGTCGGAGTTTTGTACCTTGTTTTGATGAACCTTCCGCGCAGTGAGCGCTTTAAACGACAAAATATTTTTCTCGTCGGAATCATTCCCGGACCTAGTGAGCCCAAGAATAACATTAACTCATACCTTAAACCACTCGTTGATGAGCTTGTTGTTCTTTGGGAGGAAGGCGTGACCCTACGACATTCTGGCTCACTTATTTACCAAACGCTTTCGAGCTGCTTTGTTGTGCGTAGCCTGTGATATGCCAGCCAGTAAGAAGGTTTGCGGGTTCACTGCTCCCAACTCTAAACGTGGTTGCAATAAGTGCACCAAAGAGTTCGTTACTGGTGGATTCGGTGATGCAACTGATTATTCCGGATTCAATTCGAGTAGTGGGAGAAATATTGTTGACCATAGGAGGCATGTTGAGGAGGATATTTTAGCGAAGTTGACGCAGGAATTGCGTAATGCGAAGGAGTCTCTATATGGCGCTAGATATTCCGAACTTCTCCGACTACCATACTTCGACTGCATTAGGTTTACTATTGTTGATCCGATGCATAATTTATTTCTGGGAACTGCGAAACGCATGATGGAATTGTGGTTGGAACTTTCTCTTTTGACACGTGCAGATTTGGAACTTATTCAACAGAAAGTAGACATATGTAATACACCTTCAAACATGGGTCGACTTCCGTTCAAAATAGCCAAGTCGTTTTCTGGATTTACGGCAGAACAGTGGAAAAACCTGGGTAACTGTCTTCTCTCCGTTTGCATTGTTAGGTCATCTACCTGGTAAACATTACAAATGCTGGTTGAATTTTGTTAAAGCTTGTAAAATTCTGTCACGGCCAATGATTAAAATACATGACGTGGTTCTTGCGCATTCTCTGCTTGTAAAGTTCTGTCGTGATGTCGAAAAGTTATATGGAACACAACGCATTACACCGAATATGCATATGCATACACATTTGGCCGATTGTATTCTTGACTATGGACCAGTGTATAGTTTTTGGTTGTTCAGCTTTGAACGGTACAATGGCATACTAGGTAACTATTCGAACAATAATAAGTCAATTGAATTGCAAATTATGAGAAAGTTTTTGAGAGATCAGAACTTGAGAGAACTTGAATTCCCAAAAGAATGTGTGCAGCATTTTAGCGATTTGACTGATAAACTACAACAGCGCGAAGGCCATCAATCTTGTAGCGAAATAGTTGATAGCAAGCTTGCAATTGATATTCTTCATTTGTGTGATGGTAGGCTTGACATTCGTGATGAGTTATGGTTTACTCTGGATGGTTACTCCCTTGGTTTACCTCACGTTATTGAACAGTTAGATTGTGATGAGCACGAGTACCTGAGTGCTGTTTACAAAATATTTCTTCCTGACATACCAGTCGACAACATTCCTTACCTCACGACAAATACGCGTCGATCGAATTTTCAGGGGAACGATACGGGTCAGAGTTTTCCCGTCTAAGTCGTTTTGCTTACATTTTAGCAAGGTGGGCAGGACGATTCCATGGAGGTGTGGATATGGAAGGTGTAGAGGAAAGACCGGGCATTATCGATTGTTTCGTACGCCAGTCGATTTCGTATCGGGATAAGGTACATTCGTTTTGTTTTGCGCACGTTCCCTGGTTTCAACGGCACCCTGAACGATTTCATTATGGTAATGATGGAGTTACGCCCGAGATTTGGTGCTCAAACTTGTTCGAGAGTTTTGGTCCGGCGTCCTTTATACCCGTTCAACGCATAGCGCGAAATTTAATACCCGGTTATGATAAAGTTGATGACGAAACCATCTTGTTTGTTATGCCATTGGAAAGGCGAATTCTTCTGTGATTCAGATGGAATTTGGAGGCTAACTAGTTTAAGTCTGACTATAGCACATTCAAATCAATGCCCTTGATCATGGTTCTTCGTAGTGCTTTAAAGTTCGTAATACCGTGCTGACAGAACTGTGACGTATTTAATACCCAGAAATGGGGGCAGATCAGGGTTAAAGCAACACATAATTAACGGCGTTAAGTGGTTTAATACATGAATGCATCCATGCATGCACGCTATATAACCATATGCCCTAGATTATAACCGCTATTTGTATTATCGCGTTATTAATTCGTGTAAGCCCTAATGGATACTGAACAATATTAATTTGTAGGTTCCTTGAAAGCTTGCATGTTGAAAACAGTATTTTATCGTACGTTTGTGGAAATACCGCGTGAAAATTTAATTTTGCAATCCTCTGGGGCCGGTTGTATAACTGCATGTACTGTAGTTAACGACAGAATTGGCCAATCAGAGTCGTGTATTGCTCATTTAACTATGCAAAATGTAGTTAAAGAGTTTTATACATCTGGAGCCGGTTGTATAAAGCTCTTAACTACATTTTGCATAGTTAAATCGTAGTTAACTCAGAAATACATGACTCTGATTGGTCAATTCTGTTACTAACTATGATAAGAGTTTACTACATTTTTATACAACCGACCCCTGGTCCCTGATCTGCAAAATTATATTCACGCGATATTTCTCCAAACGCACGATAAAAAAATTGATTTACTAAATGTAGACTTAAATTTAGTTCTCACTGGAACAAAGATTATCAATTAGGTAATTTAAGCACTCTGTTTATATATATATGCTATCCGAATTTGCTTTCTTGGTATACAATACCACCTTATACTAGCAAGAGACCGTATTGCCCGCGTTGCTTCTAAGCAGTTGTTTTGTCAGCCACCGAAAACCGGGTTTTTGGTTAGGGGCTAGGACTTTTGTTACTTAATTATATTCTAAGTTTTAAAGTTTAATATATCCTGGTTTCCGGTTTATGGTACATCTTGGTTGATTTTCAGTGGTTAGCCAGGCCTGCCAATTAGTCTTGCTATTCTCGTATTTTGATGTTTAAAGAAATCAGTAATGATAATAACAATATGTTCCCATTCGATTAATTTTTCAGTTTTTAAACGGATTCATTAGATTTTCCCCTTTTCGAAAGGCTCTCACTTTTGAAATGAATAAAATTCTAAGTTGATGCTTTTCTAGAGAAGTCTCGAAACGCTACCCGTAAACTGGATCCAGGGTGTTTTGTCAACATTAGGTTTAAGACGTTGAATCCAAAGTTATTCAACGTTTTATTTAAAAATATAATCAAACGCCTTGTATGTTTAGGTACATTTGTTCATATAGCGTTCTATTTAATGCATTTTAAACTATTTAAACGTGATTAACGTTGTATTACTTTTCCTGATCTTTGATTCTGACGCCCTTTAGAAATCATACAAATCATCAGCCTTGATACTGCCTCGATTAATTAAGGGTCGTGGTCAAACTTCAGATGAAGAAACGGGTAAGGAAAGTCCAATGGGTGGAGTAATTTTAACGTAGTTGAGTAAACTTTATTTTTCAGCTGTTTTGTTTTTAAACCAAAAAGCTTTGTAGTAGGGTATAGAGAGGCTGCTCTGTTTACTGCTAGGCGCCGAAAACCAGGCCTGCGTAACCCTATGTATAGGTTTCGGCTTTTACTGACGTTTTTGAACGACTGCACTGGTTCTGCTCGAAGATTTTAGTTAAAAATGATAAAAATCCTCGTTTGAAAGCAGCATGTACTTTATTACATAATTATAGTGCTAAGGAACGATTTTGGTATTTTTAAACTGATTGCGTTTGAAGGATATCGTCGATGCGAAGTTTTTTTGAATAGCTTATTCTTTCAAAGGAAATAACTCGGGTCTTTAAAAAGCATGGGTAAACAGGATGTAAGGAGCTCTAGGTTTACTTCCAATAGTCAGAAAC